CCCCGCCCCTCTTCCCCCCCTCCCCCTTCCCTCCCACATATACTCGCTCCCGTATAGTTGTCTGTGAATCCAACTCAAAGCTCCTGATCTTGTCTTCCCACCCGATCTCGTACACCTATCTTGGCTACCCCAGCAGTCCACCCACCCTCCCGAAAAGCAAGATACGGTCAGCAACGCAAACGCACAGAAATACGCCATACACACAAAAGTGCCATGTACAACGACGGAATAAATGCAGAACTTCGGCTCTGCACATTAAGCGAAAACCCTGTGAGGACCGAATACAGGAAAAAGCCTGAAAGTGTCTCCGTCAAACTTATAACGGGCATACTTATTGTTAAGTGTCGCACAACTTCTCACAAATTGACTGTCAAACTTTTTCACAAGATCAATAACACATCTCAGCACAGCCACACCTGCAGCAAACTAAACACATCATCACCTACAGTCCTCCAGGCTCCCTCTCCACCCTGAGGACTTACTGGAATGTCCTGTTACCTTGAGATAACACCTGTCACTTCTCCGCCATTATTATGCTATGCTTTGAAGACAGGAGATGACCCGAGACACACGACGACTCTCCTCGCCCTTCATGTCCTCTGCTGCTGATGATATCCCTTTCACTCGCAGCACGCCATCATCTATGCATTGCTTTAACAGCTCTGTGAGGTTGCACTCCGGACACTAACTTCAGAATCACTCGCAATAGACAACTTCAGGGAGTGTCTACCAATCGCCCGCCGATGAGAGTTAACCGGCAGTTCAGGGAGTATCTGTGAACATCCTCCCTCATACTCCCACCAACACCTTCAGAATGCATCTCCCGATCACGGCATCCCCAGCAGCTTGTGCTTCGTCTGCTCCTCCACAATCACAGCAGCACCGCCCCCCAATGATGAGGAGCACGACCTGAATCCGCACATATCTCGATGAACCTGTCATGGTTCGATGAACCTGTCAGGGTTTAATGAACCTGACAGGGTAAGTTCACAGGCTTTGCCAATCTGCAGAGACCTGCAACCGCAAACCCACAGATACTGCACGTCCAGCTCACAGTATCAATAACAGTTCCCAGCAAATAGCAGGTTAAGAACGAAGAAAACACGCCTCCTGCTCGCATGATTCCCAGAGGACAAGGGGTGATACGAACAGAGCTAGTGCAGGCAGCTCAAGGATGTGGGACAGTAAACATCAAAATAAATTTTTCGAAGAGTCAAATAGAGACATATAAACACTTAAAATCCTGACTGAAGTTCACCGTTCTCCCTGACTTGAGAGGGGATCATCGTAACTTAAAACCAGCAAATCAATTTTCCATTTCGAAACATACCTACGACCMTACAATTTCATTGCCACATCTCTACCACACCAAGAACCAGAGAATATGCACCTTCCCCAGCCGGACTTTTACCCCCGCCAAACAATCCTCCTCACTTCCGTCGATACTACACATAAAGTTGTGAGAGTGTGTCATCAACCACTACTCCCATAGTCCATCGTAAAACGCATCCAGAGAGGGACACGATGTGTACCACAGCTGTGTGTCCAAAAGATCTTTTCCCCGGCTGCCACTTTGTAGCTCCTTGCCGTCATGGGATTGAATCTTTCCCTCAACCAGGGCTCAGATTGCCACAGCAGCCGTTTGGCTCCTTTCCGTTTTGCCATAGCTCTCCACAACAACAAAGGAAACTGTTCAGAGCGGTAAGTCACCCGTTAACTTCATAAGTATCTGCTCATAACATAATAGATCGCAAACCAGAACCATCAGTTCAACACTCTCCAATAAATCGAGCTCCCCAGACGAACGGATCATTCAAAGAAATTATGACCATCCAACAGGAAGCCGTCACGTGCGCAAAAAATGTTGGCAGAAAGGGCGTGTGATCAAATCTCTACTGGACTGAAAAATTGTCAAGGCAAACCGTGTATGCTATGTCAGTCTCCATGCACGGAGAGTAGACAGGTGGTAAGCAGGCGAAAACACCTCTTCCCCCCTCCCCTCTTTGCCCCTTTCTCCAGACAAACGGTGTATGCTAGGTCAATCTCTATGCACAAAGAGTAGACAGGCAGTAAGCAGCCAAGAACCTCTTCCCCACTCCACTTTCGCCCCCACCTCTCCAGCCACACTCCTTCCCGAAATCACACTAGTCAGTGAGCTGGAGTTAAGTGCCCGCGCTGATGTCGTCAAGCCAGACCAGGGCAGACCGGGCCAGACCACACAGGTCAGGCAACCGCTGACGTGGTCAAGCCAGGTCAGGGAAGACCAGGCCAGACCATAATCCACATATGACAAGCCAATGCAACCAACTGGCACTTACCCGGCAAGCACAACCTAGATGTTACAATTGCCCATCTGACCAGACGTGCAAAGTCGAACCAAACAACCTTGAGCCCGCATATCGTCATTAGCAACCGCCTGAGAATTCACTCATCGAGGAGGAGACTAGGCAAAACAACCTCACCAAATCCTGCCATTCATTCCAGGAGACCTTGAGGTCTCCAGCAGTAACTTGATCTGAAACATAGCCACGAGCAAGATAAAGGCCAGGACGCAGACCTGCCAGGATGGTAGTCATCCTGGCCAGTAAGGCAGACACTCTGTGTCCCATCGTCAGGGTTTCTTCCCACCATCTCCTTTCTGACTTTGGAACTGCACGCTGGGAGTGAAGACCCAGAGATTCTACGACATTCACATCGCAGACCCGTAGCACGCAGGAGAATCCACAGGGACGTGCTTGTGGAAGCAGAGGACCGTCGAAAGCAGACACGGTCACTCCTTGTCACGGCTGCAAATGATAGTTGTGAGGGGAAAAAATGGTCTTGCAGAATAGAATAAGTTATGAGTGACATACTCCAGTTCGCATCCTTGCGTTACTTCAATTAAAACGAAATACACATTGACAAACACAAACAGACGAAAACGGGAAAAAAAAAAGAGAGAGAGGGAACGTGTGTGGTTCATGGGTGGTTGCCCTTGTCCCACATCCTGTGTTTGCTGTGCCAGGCCCATAATCTCAATTAACAAGAGCCAAGCACCTGGCAAAACAGTCGCAGYAGATGAAAGTCTTCCCACTGCCTGTGGTTGCACAGGGAAGGCACATCAGATGCCCACACCCACCAGCAGTTTGAAAGTTTCATTATACAGAGACTTACTTCCCAGACCTTGATCAGAAGAGTCGGTGCAATGTGTCCACACATTCTATCACATCGCCCAAATTGTTTCTAGCAGTCGAGAAAGGTGCCAAAGAATGTAACTCCCAGGATTATAGACAAATCTGACAATGGAACGACTACGGCTGCTGCTTCACAGGTGGACAACACATGAGGTGACGTAACTGTTTCTCCTGCCTGGAGAAACCTTTGCCCGGCATTGTTGACGACATACTGCAGTTGGCATTACCTTCTTACCTGGCCCGCTCCTCTACAGCATGGTTTGCAACAGAGGCCTGAAGGTACCCGAGCAACAAGTTCGCCTTGCGCCTCGCACGTGGCGTTCCTGACTGAAGCAAAGCAGTCAGTGGCACAATCACTCCAAGCTTTATTGCTGTTTCTGCATGTTCTGTATTGCTCTGGCAAAGGGCGAGCAGGACCGCCACAGCATTCTCCTTGTTCCTGGGCGAGCCTGTTCCAAGGAGGTCGACAAGAATGGGCACTGGCATCGTATGACCTACTGCTGAGCGTCCTTCAGGGGCAGTCACCAGAATAGCTAGGATTGCAAGGGCCTCATCAACCATTCCGGTGGACCTGTCAGCGAGCAATTGCATCAGAGGTGGGATGATCCCAGCTCTGATGGCTCGGGTCTTGTTTCCCTGGTAGATGGAAAGGTTGAAAAGCGCTGTAGCGGCATCTTTCTTYCCACGYGAGACGCCCTCTTGCAGVAGATCCACRAGAGCCGGGATAGCACCAGAAGCCCCAATTGTGATCTTATTMTCATCRCCGACAGAAAGACTGAACAACGTCGCTGCAGCATTTTCCCTGGCTTCMATGCTTCCTGACTTCAGTACCTCCACAATAGGAGGCACGGCACCAGCTGCCATAATTGCTGTCTTGTTGCTTTCATTAATAGAGAGATTGAGCAGGGCAGTGACTGCATGCTCCTGTGTTTTCGGGTCTGACGAGCTAAGAAGCTGGACGAGGAGCGGAATGGCACCAGCCTGTGCAATGCAGACCCTATTCTCCATGCTCCTCTTTGCAAGCAGCCTAAGTTCTTCGGCTGCTTGTCGTTTGTTCTCGGTCGTGCCAGAAACAAGTTTCTGCAGCAGACCATCGACCAAAGATCGGTCGCCACTAATTTCTCCGTTCTCTGCGGAATTCCGACCCGACCTGCCTGGTTTTTGTGCTCCCAGTTTATCAGGGAAGTCCACACCATTTTCCTCACACCAGGCCATGATCAGACTCTTAAGAACAAAGTTCGGTATCACTACAATATGGGAAAGGACCTGCTGGGTCTTGGGGCATGTCCGGTGCCCCGAATCTAGCCATTTTTGAATGTATGCTCTCTCAAATGTCTGCCCTGTTGCAATGATAACTGGGTCCCTCATCAACTCCAACGAGATCGGGCACTTGTAGTCATCTGGAGGAACTGGAGGTAGCTTTCTTTGCTGAACCGGTACCACTGCTGTTGAGGATGACGATGATGATGGCGCAGATGAAGGCGCAGTCATGACAGGAGGTGCGTCCATATCATAATTCACACAGAGTGCCATGTTCTCCAACAGGCCCATCACAGCTCCAACTTCTTCCTCCTCCTTCCCTGGAGACAGAGATGGCAGATGTTTCTCAAGAACCTTTCTCTCAGCCTCAATCGCTGAAAGTGTGTTCAGGTCAAGCAACCTCAGAATTTCCTTCATTTTGCCCATGTCAACTCCAAGGCCCTTCTGGTGACACTCCACAGCATTTTTAAGTTCAGAAAAAAGTACCTTGTCTTTCACATCGACAACACTCTTTGCTCTCTTCAATTGCGCACGCACAAGCCCAACCTGCAGTTACATCCCACATCAATCTGTTAGTCAACGGACTTTGCCTGCAACTTATTCGTTGAACCTCTCTTCTGCCCAAGGCTGAACTTGCTGACTTTCGCGCAATAACCTGCAGCCTTGTGCATTAACCACTCCATCATGGTACGTTGTTTCACATCAAAAGCCACAGCTCTTTTTGCATCTTCTCCAGGCCTTTGACTCAAGACTCGACCTGGCCGCTATGTACACAGCTGCTAAAATCAGGTGCAAGGAAAATGAGAGATGAAACGGTATTCACCAGTCCACAGTAGCCGACGCAGACCCAGGGCTCGATTCCTAGTCCCCACCTTACCTGTGTACAGTATCTGTGTCGACCCCTAGAGTTGAACCCGTGACCTGTGTATTTGTAACAGTTGGTAGACTGTTGTACGGTCCATAGGTAGCAGAAGTTTGATCTGTACACCTGTYGAGTAGGAGTCCTAGTCAGGTCTAGAAGTCSTTGCTGTAGTTTTCCCGAAGGGTCAAGGTCGTAGCTGCTACAGCCCAGAAAGGTCAAGGTCGTAGCTGCTACAGTATCGAAAGGCCAAGTCTACGGCCTTCCGGAAGGTCCGAGTAGTGGCCTTTCGCAGTTGCCCATGTTTAGGCTGAGGCAACTGGGCAAGTGGTGAGGCAAGTGGGCAAGTGGCGGAGTGTACCTGTGCTGAGTCAGCAGTCCCAGTCCCAGTCAGTCCTAGTCCAGTCAAGCAAGTGCCGCATGGGACTGTGTGCACTACGGGCATGGGAAAGGGCCAGACCAACAAGCTGCAGAAGTATAAATCAAGAGGCAGCGCCCAGTCGTTCATTTATTCCTGCATGAGCCATGCGGAAGCGCTGTCATAGCGACTTGTGCGAGGTGGTCTGCAGTGAGCCCGAGGACAAAGTGGGCGAGAGAGAAGGAGCTTAGCCATAGCAATAGGGCAGTAGCGGCCATAGCCGCCGTAGCTGTAGGTAGTGTGCAGTGTGAGTGTGTGTGTGTACAGAGTATCGCGTGTGGGATATCCAGGGTGATCCTGGGTGTGCGAACAGAGAGTTGTGTGGGCGCTGAGTCGCCATAGCCATCGAAGTGAACTTGTACCTGAACTGTGTTCTTGGCTGCCATATCTCTGAGTTTTGAGTGGGCGCTTGTCGCCAGTTTGCTGCGCACCTGTTTGCATGCATGCGAAGTGTGGATGAGAGCGAGTCTGATTGCATTGGTATCAGAGCTGGTACCCGCTATTCCACGCGCATCGTCGTGTGCCGCAGGGAGAGTAATGCGCCATAGCCGAAGTGGCCAACAGAGAAGAAGTCTGCCATAGCGGACACGGAGGTTGAAGAAGCCGCCGCGCGCACCTGCAGACAAGACCACGACAAAGAAGAAGACACACAGAGAGAGAGAGAGAGAGAGAGAGAGAGAGAGAGAGAGAGAGAGAGAGAGAGAGAGAGAGAGAGAGAGAGAGAGAGAGAGAGAGAG